ACTCCTTTTTCTGACCCTTGTTGTTGAAATCCAATCAGGAGGAAGACGTACAGAAGGATCTTGACTTGTGCAAACGCAGCTCTGCGTTTTGCACTACCGCAGCGTACTTCTAACCAACTACCTAGGGATGAGATTATTAAAGGCAACATGCAATTTTGTCCTGGGTTTTTTTCCCCTTCTTCTCTGAGGCTAATAAGACGAGGGCAGGAATGCTTCCTTGAGGACCGCAGCTGGTGAAAGGAGGATTAAACCACCTTTGACTGCATGCTACAGCCCCAATGAAAAACCAGATGCTGTTCGTGTATTTATTTAACAGATTTCTAGACCACCTAACAGCCACAGTTTCCTGGTGGGTAAATGAATTCATTAAAAATAGACACAATAACTCCAAACATTATAAATAATAAAAGCAAGCAGTGTGAGAGAGATTAAAAAAGAAAAAGAAAGAAAGTCACAACTACAGATCACAAACATTTGTTGTTAGTTGCGAAGTTGTGTCTGACCCATCGCAACCCCATGGACAACGTTCCTCCAGGCCTTCCTGTCCTCTACCATCCTCTGGAGTCCATTGAAGCTCACGCCGACTGCTTCAGTGACTCCATCCAGCCACCTCGTTCTCTGCCGTCCCCTTCTTCTTTTGCCCTCCATCGTTCCCAGCGTTAGGCTCTTCTCCAGTGAGTCCTTCCTTCTCATTCAGTGGCCAAAGTATTTGAGTTTCATCTTCAGGATCTGGCCTTCTAAAGAGCAGTCAGGGTTGATCTCCTCTAGGACTGACTGGTTGGATCGCCTTGCAGTCCAAGGGACTCTCAGGAGTCTTCTCCAGCACCATAGTTCAAAGGCCTCCATTCTTTGGCGCTAAAATTGGCAGGCCAATTGACAAAAATATTTTATATGTTTATTTTTTTATCTCTCACCTAGAGGTATGGCTCAGAGGTGGGTTTCAGCAGGTTCTGACCAGTTCTGGAGAACTGGTAGCGGAAATTTTGAGTAGTTCAGAGAACCGATAGTAAAAATTCTGACTGGCCCCGTCCCCATCTATTCTCTGCCTCCTGAGTCGCAGCTGATCGGGAGGAAATGGGGATTTTGCAGTATCCTTCCCCTGGATTGGGGTAGGAATGGAGATTTTACAGTATCCTTCCCCTGGAGTGGGGATGGAATGGAGATTTTACAGTATCCTTCCCCTGGATTGATTGATTGATTGATTGGTTCTAATTTTTATACCGCCCTTCTCCCGAAGGACTCAGGGCGGTGCACAGCCAAAGATAAAACAAGCACATATATAAAATTTAAAAACAAATATGCAGTATCCTTCCCCTGGATTGGGAGGGAATGGAGATTTTACAGTATCCTTCCCCTGGATCGGGGAGGGAATGGAGATTTTATAGTATCCTTCCCCTGGAGTGGGGAGGGAATGGAGATTTTACAGTATCTTTCCCCTGCCATGCCCACCAAGCCATGCCCACCAAGCCATGCCACGCCCACCAAGCCGCACCCACAGAACCAGTAGTAAAAATTTTGGAAACCCACCACTGAAGCAAATGTACACATTTATTCACAGGTTGCATAGCTGCTTCCTTCCATATTCCATATTTTACTCAGTAGTCCATCCAATAGTACTTCTACCGAAGCCAGAGAACTGCTCGTAAAGAAGAAAATGCCCTTCATTTTCCCACAACTGTAGGAAGTTGCTCTGAAACCTTAAACGTAACTTAGATTCGTTTTTTTCCTTATAGTCAAAAGCCAATGTAAATACATATCTACAGCAACAAGATGCCACTCGGTTTTCCAAAATCAAGAAAGCAACGTTCTTATTTAATCCCTCCCTATATCACTACCTTTACCAGACCGATTCCGGCTGCCAATGTATACTGAGAACAATTATTTTGCATTAAGAGATTGCCTGCCGGTTGCATCATTTGGTTAGCCAAAGGTAACCTGGAAACTGATTCTCAGCTTATTTGCTCCCCAGGTTGGAAACAAAATTGTGCAGAAGACAAATAACTATCGTCAAAAACACGAACACCCTACAATAAAAAGATCGTCCGGTGAAGTGTGTTCTGTGTTCCACATTTATACATATTTCGCCCTAAATCCCATAATCCTGGTGTCACTGGATTCAGCAGTGGGCAAATTATGGTTGCAAACAACATCCAGAGATCTTGCCAAAAGCTACTGCCCTAAATTGTTGATCCTGCATTTTTTTACAGTATATATGAACTCATCACATGTGTTTATTGATTTGTTAATTTGATCTGCTGTCATGTTCACACAAGACTCCCAACTGTATAAATCATAATACTCAAAGAATCCCGTTCACATAAATACTATTAAAACTTTTTTTTTTTAATTTGATTTATATGCTGCCCTTCTCCGGAGACTCAGGGCGGCTTACAATGTGCTCAGCAATAGCCTTCATCCTTTTGTATATTTATACAAAGTCAGCTTATTGCCCCCACAACTGGGTCCTCAATTTACCTACCTTAGAAAGGATGGAAGGCTGAGTCAACCTTGAGCCTGGTGAGATTCGAACCTGCAGTAATTGCAGGCAGCTGGTCTTAATAAGCTTAATAACAGGGTGCCTTAAACCCCTGTACTACCAAGGCTCTTATATGTTAATAACAGGGTGCTTAGACCACTGTACTATCAAGGCTCTTTTCATGTACAATACACTGATAGCATAATTTAAATAATCCAGCCCACTTCCATCATTCTCAGAAAGCAACTCTATCTTGATCCGCTTTCAGAAAACCTCTAGATCAGTGTTTCTCAACCTTGGTAGCTGCACCTCCAAGACTCCTTGGTATTCCCAGCATGGTCTTACCAAGGTCTGATTTATAATGATATGTTTATTTATATTTATAATCATAGGTTTTTATGGATTCATCACTTACATCTTTTATGTATAATCATAATCATACGTTTATTTGTCAAGCATATGTAAGATAACAGGCAAAAGTATAAACATAATTTGAATACATGAAAAGAGTAAGTAAAAAGGAATATTAGGACAGGGATGGAAGGAATGCTGGTGCAATTATGCACGCCCCTTACAGACCTCTTAGGAATGGGGTGAGCTCAACAGTAGACAGTTTAAGGTTAAAGTTTTGGGGGTTTGGGGAAGAAACTACAGAGTCAGGTAGAGCATTCCAGGCATTGACCACTCTGTTACTGAAGTCGTATTTTCTGCAATCGACTTTGGAACGGTTTACCTTGAGTTTGTATGTATTATTTGCTCGTGTATTGTTATGGTTATGAGAGCTTATGCACCAAAGACAAATTCCTTGTGTGTCCAATCACACGGTCAATAAAGAATTGAATTCTATTCTATTCTATCCTACATTGGAGAAGGGCGGTATAGAAATTTAAACAAATAAATAAATAAATAAATATTCTATTCTATTCTATTCTATTCTATTCTAAACCCTAACCCTACCCTTCCCTACACCTACCCTACCCTATTTAAAACCCTACCCTACCCTACCCTAAAGCTACCCAACCCTACCCTACCCTAACCCAACCCTATTCTATTTCTATTCTATTCTAATTCTATTCTATCTATCTATTCTATTCTAATTCTACCTACCCTACCCATCCCTTCCCTACCCCTAACCCTAACCCTAACCCTAACCCTAACCCTAACCCTAACCCGAACCCTACCCTAACCCTACCTACTCTATTCTATTCTATTCTATTCTATTCTATCTATCTATTCTATTCTATTCTACCCTACCCTACCCTACCCTCCCTTCCCTACCATAACCCTACCCTACCCTACCCCTACCCTACCCTACCCTACCCTACCCTACTCTACTTCTATTCTATTCTATCTAGTTCTATTCTATTCTATTCTATCTACTCTACCCTTCCCTTCCTACCCTAATCTAACCCTAACCCTAACCCTAACCCTAACCCTAACCCTAACCCTAACCCTAACCCTAACCCAACCCCTACTCTATTCTATTCTATTCTATTCTATTCTATTCTATCTATTCTATTCTATTCTATTCTATTCTATTCTACCCTACCCTACCCTACCCTTCCCTTCCCTAACCCTACCCTACCCTACCCTACACTACCCTTCCCTACCCTACCCTACCCTATTTATTCTATTCTATTCTATTCTATTCTATTCTATTCTATTCTATTCAACCCTACCCTACCCTTCCCTTCCCTACCCAGAACCCTAACCCTAACCCTAACCCTAACCCTAACCCTAACCCTAACCCTAACCCTAACCCTACCCTACTCTATTCTATTCTATTCTATTCTATTCTATTCTATTCTATTCTATTCTATTCTATTCTATTCTATTCTACCCTAACCCTACCCTACCCTTCCCTTCCCTACCCTACCCTACCCTACCCTACCCTACCCTACCCTACCCTAAATAAATACCCTATTCTATTCTATTCTATTCTATTCTATTCTATTCTATTCTATTCTATTCTACTCTACCCTACCCTACCCTACCCTTCCCTACCCTACCCTACTACCCTACCCTACCCTACCCTACCCTACCCTACCCTATTCTATTCTATTCTATTCTATTCTATTCTATTCTATTCTATTCTATTCTATTCTATTCTATAGAAGTCTTAACATGTCACGTGATCTAGATTCTATCCCTAGTACATGCGACTCCCATTATGTATGAGTGGCCCCAACCAAGTGGTATCCTCAGTTCTACAAAGCCCTACCCTACCCTACTCTACTCTACTCTACTCTACTCTCTATTCTACTATACTCTACCCTACCCTACCCTACCCTTCCCTACCCTACCCTACCCTACCCTACCTACCCTACCCTACCCTACCCTCTCTATTCTATTCTATTCTATTCTATTCTATTCTATTCTATTCTATTCTATTCTATTGAAGTCTTAACATGTCACGTGATCTAGATTCTATCCCTAGTACATGCAACTCCCATTATGTACGAGTGGCCCCCAACCAAGTGGTATCCTCAGTTCTACAAAGCATGCTGGAGGTTATCTGGTTTACCTTGGTTCCATCCACACTGATTATTCGATAGCTGTTCCTTGTGCCATCATAGAAGTAGGAAACCGTAACAGCTTGTTTGCTTGCAGGGACCCAGTTCTTCTTGGTGGTAGGGTCAATTTGAAAGACATGTGCTCTCGTGGTGAAGATGGGCTGTTCTCTGGAAGAGGGAGGGACAGGAGAAATGGAATGCAGAATGAGTTTGTGACAAATGAAAATGCCTGCAGTCCTACCAGTGGTGGGATTCAGCCAGTTCTATCCGGTTCAAGTGAACCGGTAGTGATGGCAGCGGGAGGCTCTGCCCCCCCCGCGTCCAGATGTAATCACGTCCCGTTTTTGACGCTCGCTGCATGAGCGCTCACATTTGCAAACTAGTAGCAAAGGTAAGTGAATAACACTCCTGAGTCCTACCCCAATGAACAAGGAATGTGGGCTACGTCGACCCTAAAATATGGGAGGGAGACAATAAAATAAAAACTCAGGAATAAAAGCAAAAGAGCCAATGATTCTACAGGTAGTCCAGTGGTGAAATGTAACATTTGTTACTACTGGTTCTGTGGCTTGGTGGTGGTGGTGGGTTAATGTGACTGGGTGGGCGTGGCCAACTTTTTTTTTCCCTTTTAAAAGCATGTTTTCTACAACCTTAAGAGGTTGCAGAAAAAAATGCTTTTAAAAGCCTCTGACGATCAGGCAACTCAGCTGGGATCGTCAGAGGCTTTTAAAGGCATTTTTTTTTTCTACAACCTCTTCGGCCGAAGCATTTTGTAGAAAAAAATGCTTTTAAAAGCCTCTGATGATCCCAGCTGAGCCGCACGATCATCAGAAGCTTTTTTTTAAACTTTTAAAAGCATCTTTTTCAGCCAAAGAGGTTGTAGAAAAAATGCTTTTAAAAGTAAAAAAAAAAAAAGCCTCTGATGATCGCACGGCTCAGCATGGGTGGGGAGGCAGGGATTTTTGCTATCGGTTCTCCGAACCACCTGAAACCATTGCTACCGGATCGGGCGATCCGGTCCGAACCGGAGCATTTCACCCCTGAGGTAGTCCTTGACTTAAAACAAGTTCATTTAATGACCGCTCAAAGTCATAACAGCACTGAGGAAAGGAACTTACGACCGTTTTTCACACTGATGGCCATTGCAGCATCCACACGGTCATGTGATTAAAATTCAGATGGTTGGCCACTGATTCACATTTATGACGGTTGCACTGTCCCGGAGTCATGTGATCCCCTTATGCGACCTTCTGACAAGCAAAGTCAATGGAGATGTCAGCTTTGGAAGCCATGTTAGGCTGCATTCACTTAACAACCTTGTTACTAACTTAACAACTGCAGATATCTATGGAGATTCTCCATCATCCAGGACATGGTTGTCCCAAAGATGCTTTTTCCAACAGGCAACTGGACTTCCTGGTTTTTTTCTTTGAAGACGTTTCGCTTCTCATCCAAGAAGCTTCTTCAGCTCTGAGAAGAAGAGCTGGAGAAGCTTCTTGGATGAGAAGCGAAACGTCTTCAAAGAAAAAAACCAGGAAGTCCAGTTGCCTGTTGGAAAAAAGCACCTTTGGATTAAGAACTGCAGTGATTCACTTAACAACTGTGTCAAGAAAAGTCATAAAATCGAGACAAGAGATACCGGACTGTGCAGAAACGGATAGATTGACATTGAAAATCAAACAGCAAGAAGACACAGCATATTATCAAACATGGAATCGATTTTATCAGTGGGTGGAAAAAAAGGAGTGGAGATTAAGAATGTAATCTATATTGCTAAGCAAACTAAATACCCAGACAACACGATGTTTATTAAGCACTAAGAAATGTAATTAATAGAAAATCAACTTCAAAAATTTCAAGAAAAAGAAAAAGTCATAAAATGGAGCAAAAGTTACTTAACAAATGTCTCACTTAGCAACAGAAATTTTGGGCTCAATTGTGGTTGTAAATTGAGGACTATCTGTATTTTGAGACATCATCAAAGATTTTGGTTCCTTCCAGGACAGGCCCACATTTGAGACTCCAATGATTCTGATTTTTTAATATTTCCCACGAGATTAAGAAAAACCAAATGCCACAGACAAATATGTCAGCTCTGCCTCTCTTATTTCAAACTCCCAGCTGTTTATGAATTCACAATTTCTTTGAAGTGCAGCTATCCTCCTGCTTCCTTACTTGGGTTAAGATTACCTTCATTAATTTCTAAGGCTTAGCATGAATGCAGCTTTTGTCTTATTTTAGCTTTCCCCATGCAAATAAGCTCACACATCCAGCTAGCCAAACTTGGTGTTTTTCGAAGTGTCTATCTTTAGAATCTGTCCACTAACTACGTGGCACTGCCTGTACAGTACCGTAAATCTCACTGTATTACTCTACTGGGCATGTCACAACACCCCGCATTCATGCCCCCGTGAATTTTTCTACCAGCAATCATTTCAGGTCTCTGTACTAGAGTACATTTCAGTTTGCATCCCAAATTCCTGTTTGAGGCTGCCAATGAGGTCTTCTATGAAAATTGCGTCGGTGTTTCTTATCTCAGAATAGAATAACAGAGTTGGAAGGGACCTTGGAGGTCTTCTAGTCCAACCCCTTGCTTAGGCAGGAAACCCTACACCACTTCAGACAAATGGTTATCCAACCTTTTCTTAAAAATTTGGAGAATTCACAACTTCTGGAGGCAAGTTGTCACTGATTAATGTTCTCTACTGGCAGGAAATTTCCTCCTTAGTTCTAAATTGCTTCTCTCCTTGATTAGTTTCCACCCATTGCTTCTTGTCCTGCCCTCAGGTGCTTTGGAGAATAGCTTGACTCCCTCTTCTTTGTGGCAACCCCTGAGATATTGGAGCATTGCTATCCTGTCTCCCTAGTCCTTCTTTTCATTAGACTAGACATACCCAGTTCCTGCAACCGTTCTTCATATCTTTTAGCCTCCAATCCCCTAATCATCTTTGTTGCTCTTCTCTGCACTCTTTCTAGAGTCTCCACATCTTTTTTACATCATGGTGACCAAAACTGAATGCAGGATTCCAAGTGTGGCCTTACCAAGGCATTATAAAGTGGTATTAACACTTCACAGGATCTTGATTCTATTTAGGCAGCCTAGAACTGTGTTGGCTTTTTATCTTCTTACAGAAGGAAACTTTGAGACTTCCCAACCACAGAAATGATCGACCTCACACCTGCTTACCAAACCTGGATGGAGTGTTGATCAAACTACAGAGGAAGCTTTCATCTATCTGTTTCCCTAAACAATAACGAGTCATTTACATAAGACCCTACATTAAAAACAAGCCATATTCTGCTTTTTTATAAAGTGTGACCCAGGCCATCTTTTTTTTTTAATTTACATTGTAAGCCGCCCTGAGTCTTCGGAGAAGGGCGGCATACAATGTGCTCAGCAATAGCCTTCATCCTTTTGTATATTTTATACAATGTCAGCTTATTGCCCCCACAACTGGGTCCTCAATTTACCTACCTTAGAAAGGATGGAAGCCTGAGTCAACCTTGAGCCTTGGCGAGATTCGAACCCTGCAGTAATTGCAGGCAGCTGATCTTAATAACCAGCTTAATAACAGGGTGCCTTAAACCCCTGTACTACCAAGGCTCCTTGACAGCGGCTTCTTGACAGCGACGGTCCCAAATACACCAAAGCTTCAGGAATTCACCCTCAAGCACCCCAGAGTAGAAATCTGCTCTCCTAAATGTACATAGAAAGGAGAGGGACAGGAAAAAAAATCTGAAGATAGTAGTTAAGGATGAAGAAAAAAAATGAAAATTGTATTCCTTCGCGGTGAGATATATGACTGGAGTACCAGGCTTGTGGAGGAGATACCAGGAGTCACAAATTCTCGCGGGATGATTCCCTAAGCTAGACACATTTGTCAGCCTAAACTAAGTCATTGTGTGGTTGTTAAGGGAAAAGAATAAAATAAAATGAGACTCGCAGAGCTCCTTCGAAGGATGGCAATGTAATAAATATGTCAAAAACATTTAGGATCAAAAAACATGAGGCTTCTACAACTGGTTTTTTTTTTTTTCCAGGAGAAACACCCAATCATTTGAGAGACAGGAGGAATTCTAGAAGAGTTTAAAAAGCACTATAGGAGTTAGCACCCACCCCTCTCCTAGGAAAATGAGATATTTTAGGAAATATTAAAAGGGCAGAATATTTCTCCTAAAGGGGAGGCAGAAACTCAGCTCCCCCTCATTTTTGTCAATGGGCCTGGCCCAGTCTATTCTACATAACAAATATCTACCTCCTTCAGGCAGAGCCATAGTAGGAATTGCCCAAAGCCCTTTCATTACATCATCACCCAGCAAGAGTCAACCAAGCCTGGGACTCGAAAGACAACCTATAAAGTTACCCCTGCATGGCCCCATGGGAGTCTGACAACCAATCAGAATGCAAGCTCAAATTCAAAACCCAACAGAGGGCATAAAACCCAGGCACTCTCAGCATCTCTGCCCATGTGATCCTGTTCGTCAATAAACCTTCTTTCCAAGCAACTTCCATGAATCCAGTGTCTTTTTCCCCACTTGGAACTGAACCCAGATGGACATTTCTTCCAACAGCACCAATTGTGAATACAGTCCATCAACAAAATGCTGACACATACACACGCAAAATCATTAGGACCACCCCATTAGAGTATCCAGAGTCGTGTGAATCTGGAGGCAACCCACGCCAAGCTCTTCCACCAAAGCTGCCACCGAATTACAATCTGGGGACAACTTTGGAATGTGTCAGAAGGAGGAGATTGCTCCTAGAGACTCTGCAGGATGTGTCCCTGTTAACGGCATTTAATTCATGTAATTTAATTCAATCTAAATGCAAATTAAACTATACCCCTGGCCCTTTCCGAGCACAATCCTTGGCAAGCTGCTCGGAGATAACCGGACCCCTTGGCCCAAAAAGATTGTGACTACGGAACTATCTCAGACAACTAGCGGGCCTGAGCAGAGACAAGCAAAGCCCAAACCATTTCGGAAGGGAGGGAAATCTCTGTTTATTCGCCTCAGACGTTTCTGGATAGGTAGCTGTAAGACCAAACGGGAGGCTGTAAGAATGCCGAATTATTGCAAAGGCCAAAGAAGCAGCCATTTTGCTAAAGGATGCGGTCATCCCTTCACTCCCGTTTTCTTCTGTGGACCTCAAGTTAGACTTGGAA